TTTGGAATACAGCATCCTACATCTATAGCCACATGCCGGGAAGCTTTGTTCGGTAGAGATTTCTGGTCTGTGTAACTGTAGGCACACATACAATTTACAGATGTATCAGATTGTTCTATGCAAGAACATAAACACTGCAACTATGCTATTGTGCATGCAGAAGTGACTCCATGGTAGCATATGAAATGGTCTGACATTCCCTGGAGAAAAGCAGCAGTAACCATTTTATTTGGGATTGCATTTAGCAGACAAAATAGTAAGCCCACGCGTTCTGTCTGATTCCATCATTGACCTGATGTCACTGAAAAAATATGTATGAAATATAATTCTGTGGCAATAGCATTAGTTCACTCCATAGGGTTAATTTGGGTTAGAATTAGATACATACAAATGTTGATTCTTTTTAAGGTCAGCTTCCTGAAACAATTGGAGATAGTCAAGCCAGGGATATAAATGAACACGAAATGCTATTCCGGGACAATACTCAGTTTGTTGAAGGTGAGTTTCATGGAAGGTGGAAGGAAAGAGCATTGCATTCGTTGCATGCTCACAATTGCACCACTCATGCTCACACACTTCAGGTGTATGGAAGGGAGCAATACCAGGGCATCCCCACCAGAATTCTGGAACAAGGAACATTCTCTTAAATATATGCCTAGATGAGGCATGACCCCCAGATAGCACCAAAGTTACCCACCACTGTAAAGAGACAAACAGCTCAGCCCATTAGTAACTTCCCTGGGAGTAAACCCAATTAAAGCTAAGAGGGCTTTCTTTCAAGCAGAAGAATGGCACTGGGGCATGATAGGGCTGCTCGGCCAGACCCAGGAAACAATAAACTTCCTGACTGAGTTTCCAGCTTTCCTGGAAGGTCTCTGAAAGACGGGTTTGGAGCAGCAGTGGGCAACTTGTAACACTCCAGATGTTTTGGCTTATGGCTCCCATGAACCCTCACCATTGGCTATGCTGGTGAAAGTTGTAGGCCAAACCACACATGATCTCCTCTTGTTCTACAACAACCATACCAAGATATTTCAATGAATATGTTGGTTGAAAACAAGGCTGGGTAACATGTACCCCCCACCCCAGAAGTCACTGGACTACAACTCCAATCAGCCCAAGCCCAATCCATCATAGTCAATAGTGAGGAGTGTTGGGAGCTGTAGTCCTGCAACACCTGGGCTCCCTGTGTTACATCCCCATTGCTGCCTTAAGAGAAGAGCTTCCCTGCAGAACATTCCCATGTTGCATGATTGGTCCCACCCTTCCACTGCTGCTCCTTCCTGACACCCACGCATGGATTTTGTACTGGGGTTCCTGAATGGTTGGGTATTGGAGGAAAGAGAAGTATGGCTAGTGGTGGAGCTAAACGCTCATTCCACTCCTGCATGGATGCAGGGATGTTGCGTGTATGAGCAGCCAAGAATAGGGTCAAGAAGTTCCCATTCTTGTCATGTGTCTAGGTTACAAGCATACAAACTCAGAACCCAGGACATGATTCAGGTCTCCAGCAGGAATCACAGCTCTGAGAAAAAATAATGAATCCTTCTCAAATAAAATTGTGGGAGGAGGGGGGAAAAGAAAGCCCAACCCAAATGTTATCAACCAAATAAATAGAAAATAATGCAATTGTTTAACAGTGTGTAACAGCAGCCTGGGGGATATTTTAACCAGCTATTTTCACAGCAATGCTTAATATGCTAGTCTCCGAAGCATAGCCTGAAATATATAATTTTCCATTATATTCCTGTACATTTGACTCCAGTATAATGAAGCCTTCTCCCTTCACTACACCAGAATATTGGCTGCATTAAATTGCTTGTGTAAGAATTGTTTTTTTGAAAATGAAAAAGCTGAAGTCCAAGTAAATGACCTCAAAGGAAAGCCACTCCCATCTCTGTCGACAGCCTTTCACCTCTCCGAAACAGCTCTCATGCATCACTGGGACAGAACTCCCAGCATCACCCTTCCCCAAGGGCTGCCGTTTGTCTTTGTGTCTCATGCGCTCCCTTGGCTTCATGCAACTGCCCGCTAGTCCCCTCTCCTTGTGGTGTGAGGTGCTGAGCGTTACAAGAAAAATGGCAAGCCCTTCCTATAATTATCTTCAGGAACAATAGCTCATGTTTGATAGCCAGGCCACAGACACAAACAGTCATCAAGTGGGCCAGCACAACTCATCACCCACCGAGAGAATCGCAGCCCTCCAGCTGTGCATGGCGGCTCAGCCTACTGGTGGGGGCTGATTGTACCACCCATCATGTTGCCTGTCTGGGACCGCTGAAGTGGGGGAGAGGAGGGCAACCTTCTAGCAGAAAAAGTGTGCGCCAGCGGGCTGCATTCGCTTGCTGTGTCCCAAAGTGGCAGGCATGAATCCAGGCAAGCTCTTCCATGTAAGGTGGAAGGGATCACTGCAGCACATGTCCATACGCACCGTGGTAGCATGCCCATTTTGCATGTTCTATGAGAGCCGAGGACAGTTCTCGCTTGACCATTTTCATTTTCATTTTCATTTCCATTCCATTCCATTCCATTCCATTATTTATTTACAACCATCCCTTTTCCTACAAGGAACTCAAGTCAGGCTATGCAATCCTCCTCTTCATTTTATCCTCACAACAACCCTGTGAGGAAGGCTGGGCTGAGAGTCAGGGAATTGCTTGACTAAGGACTGGAATCCAGACCATAGAATCATACAGCTGGGTCCAACCCTTGCTCAATGCAGAACTCAAGTCTCCTATCCAGATTCCAACAGGCCTGACCCTGCTTAGCTTCCAAGATTAGGTAGGATCAGGCACTTCAGACTATCTTCTAAATCCCAGTCCACCACTCTACCTGCTGCACTGCACTGTCTGTCTATGGATAAAAATGCTTGCCATATATATGGAAAATGTAATAAATGTGGCAAACATATCTGCAAATCTTCTTGTGGTACAGAAGCTAGTAAGAGGAATGCAACATCTCAAGAACTTTGATTTTCATTATGGCATAAGCATTTTAGTCCATGAAAGGTTGTGCCACAATGAATCTGAGAGCCTTCATGGTGCCACAAGAGTCTTCGTTGTTCCTGCTGTGAGCAGTACCTTCCTTGGAATGCACTGGGCAGGTACGCTCATGGGGAAGCTGGGGCTGGCAACAGCTTCCTGGCGTGTGTTCACACCGAGGCAAGCCTGCGTTTCTGCAACAGAATGTGTGAAGCAGCTCTCGGTGGTGCCTAAGCTGTCCCTATTAATAACAGCCCAGTTGCATTAAATACCCTGACTCCTACCAACTGTTTGAGCCAGACCAGGATATCGAGAGTCACCATTTTGCAGCATATAATTTTTGTAACAACAGGCACACGGGCCAAAGCAAATTGCAGGCAAACTGGAGATCAGCACATTCCTTCCCTCCAGGAGGATTGACTTTAATGATCTGGACAACTTGAAAGGCTTCTGCTGCTGGGGAGCTAAATATTCATGACAGATACATTTTAAAAGGCTTTGAGAAACTGCATCACACAGCAGGTGCTGCATTTTTCAGAAGGTCCTTCCCTTTCCTTCCCAGTATTTTTTAATTATTTTTTAAGATGGAGTGTGTTCAATGTCCACATGTAAAAGGAAACACTTGGGGCTCTTCCTCTTATTGTGGAATGGCCTTATACAAACACTGTTAATACTAATAATGAATAATGAAATTAAAGAAGATGAATTATCTGAAGCTTTTACAGCCCAAGCTGGGTGGCAGGGCAGGGAAAGAGGAGGCAAGGGCTGTGAATATCTCCTGACGGAAAAAGAAGCAAGGAATCTTTGAAACATCTCCAGAAATTTTCTTTCGGTTCTTGGGCAATATGAAAAAATAAAGACTGTGGTACTGATCTGTGAGAAAAAGAGACAAACACCAAGTTGGGCATTGCTTTTTTTGGACTAGGCAGCTCTCTCCCACTCTCTCCCCCCCTCCCCCCTCACATGTGCGTGTGTGCACGTGCGCGCGCGCACACACACACACACAGCATTTTTGCCTGTCCTAATAAAAGAGTTGCCAACCCTGGATTTTGGACTCAGCCCACCCACCTGCGGAATGGGCACGTTAAAACCCTGAGGCCTGTGGCTGATGGTCCTTGTTTCCTCTTTCTCAGAGGTTAACTGGTTAAGTAACTGTGTGGCTGCTGGCCCTAAGAGCCTCCCCTTGGTAACATCTAGCAGAAGTGGCACAGGCATCACGATAGCCTGCGTTCATCCCCATTCATCAGACCCTGATGCAGAGCAAGTGATAAAATATGATAATTCCACAACGCAAGGTAAAACACTCCACTCAATGTTTGGGCAGGAGGAACGGAACAAGATGTGCAATGTGTTTTGGAGAGCAGCCAAACAGTTACTACACTAACTGTTTGGTCCTTGAATACTTACAAAAGTTACTTCAGTTTTTTAAAAACCCTTATATGTTTTATTGCAAAGATGTGTGCCTGACAAAACTGGGAACGGAAATGCCAGCAGTGCATTTTTGGTGTGAAATATGGTGTATCCTGCTTGAGTAATGTTTATGCATTTCTTAAGATAATGCTGAAAACAGCCATGAAAGAAGCAAAAGCGATTTGAGAGTCCCTGAAAGACATCTTCCCCTCTTTTGAAAAGCTAAATACTAGATTGTGGTGGGGGGGGGGGTTGTGTATTTGTGAGGGGGAGGTAAGATTCTAAAAAATGAAACTTTGAGGGGTGGGGTTAAAATCAAAAAATTGGTCTCATTTCCAGATTTCCGGCCAAAAGTATTTTCTTAATTACTAACTTCTTCTAATCCATATGGTCTGACCACCTGTGCAGCAGTTTATATGTGGAGGATGAGAATGTACCTTTAGCAGTTCATGATTTCCTACATTTTCCACTCAGATGCATGGCAAACCCACATGAATTCTCAATCTGGCACTGTTGCTGCTGAATCTGCTCGGGAGTGTTTTGAAAAACACTGACCTGCAAGCTCAGCTTTGATGGCAAAAATGTTTCACTAGTTTGGCCAGCAATTACCTTGGTCCTCATAATGGCTTTGATAGCAGATTCAAATTCTTCTGAATTATTATAGTCCACTGTCCACACGTGGGGTTTCCCAATGAAATCCTCTGCATAAGGGTGCTGGGAGGAAACCTAAAATCGGAAAGGAAAATAATCAGATAGGGACTCCTGCAGGGGGCACTGTGACTGCAAACATGTAAGGCGATCTGGTAAAGCATTACTGTCAAAGGGGGCAGCGAGGAAGCAACCCCTATCATACAGAAACACTTTTCAGTCCGTGTACAAAAGTCTTTAAGCTATGGAGGACATAAATCCAGACATGAATCAAAGAAATTAAAGTGTAATCCAGTTTTCTAACAATCCCTGTATGGCCAAGAGCATCCATGTTACAAAGAATGTCTCTCCCTCCCCCCCTCTCTTTCTTAGGAGCAAGCTCTTCCAACCTTGGGTCCCCAGATATTGTTGGATTGCAACCCCCATCATCCCTACTCAGCATGGCCAGGGATCAGGAGTTGGCGTGCAACAATATCTGGAGCTCCAATTTTGGGAAGAGCTGCTTTACAGTGTAAGAGTGACATGTGAAGCAGCCCTGACTTAGTTGCATGCTTACACATTGTCACAACAGCACAGTTATGCAGGGTGTATGCTCATTACAGATGGTAATAAATCTCCTAAATCTAATGCCTTTGAGGAAGTGGAGAGCATCTCCTAATGTTGTTATGTGCTGTCAAATTGTCTCTTACTTAAGGCAAGCTTAAGCATGAAAGTTCTCCAAAACATCTGATCCATGACAGCCCATGGAAGCTTACGATGTAATAAATGTGTTAGCCCCAAAGGACTCTTTCCTTCCCCAGATCTGCATTTCCCATCCCATGCTTTGCAACCCACTGATCCTTAGAAGGCCTGGTCCATTCGGAGCAGGAAGCAAGTGTCATCCGCATGCTTTAAATAGCCAAATGGGTTAGACGTGAACCAATGAATTTGGGGCCCATTTCCTGAGAGCAGGTCATTATTCAACTGAAATGTAGGCTTACTTCTCTCGATGTGGGTTTTCCTCTGAAGAACTCATGATTGAGTGAGCTGTGGGCTGGATTGAAACGAGCCTGCAGGAAGGCGCACCCATTGGCTATCGCTTCCAAAGGGGCAGGGCCTTCATAGGGGAAGCCGAATCCGATGAAGAGCTGCAGGATGCAAATTCAGATATTTCAGTGATCCTTGACAAGCGGAGGCTTTTCATACTATGATAGTTATTTTGTCCTCTAGCGCTTTGTTTGGTCTGGAACGTACCACAAGTTGCTGGAAGGGAGGTGTGTGTGTGTGTGTGTCCCTGATTGTGGTAAAGCGGCTTTCCCTAAACAGGGGAGGTGACCTCTAGATGAGAGCTAAAGTCCAAACACCTGGAGAAGGCTAGTGTAAATTCATTGATGGCTGACTGGCTCACCTGCCCAGCAGGCTGCACTTATCGCTGTTCGTTAGCAGTGAGAGCTAATGGTGCACCAAATTCCTGCATCACTCTGTCTTGTCATTTGTACCTCTTGGCTGAAAGTCCTGCTTTTCGCCCTGGTATTGCCTCTCCACAGAGGACTGCATTTAAATGGTCACACAAGCCAGTTAGTCTATTAGTTTATGCATACTGGTAGTCCTTAATTAACCCTTTTGTGTATCATTTTCATGACTAGGCCAGATGCCAAATTATCGCTTTTGAATACGTTGCACATATTATTGTCAATGATTCATTATCCAGAGACCATCATTATCTTCATGTGAAAAACTCAAATTAGCCACTAGTAAAAAAGAAACATCATTTTCATAAGGTTTAGGAAACTCTGGAAGTTTGGAAAACACAAATTTGGGATCTGGCTTACCTGTCTCCTTGTTTTGCATCCCTCAGCACTGCCTTGTCAGTTTAAAAAAAAATTATCTCTGCATGAAGAATTACAAAATCTCTATAAACTTGCTTAGGATTTAATATGACATCTGGGATTCCCAGGAGGCCAAAGGGGTGCCCCGCACATGCCGTTCCCGGCTTCCTCCCCATTTCCATGTGGTGGTTGGGCATCACGCAATGGGGCACATGGCAAAGGGGCATGTTATGGCTATTTTGAGCAACTTGTTTCCAGAACAGGAAAAAGCTTTTTTCTGGCACATTGAGGAGCACCTTGCAGAAGAAAAAAACCCACTCAGTACATGGTCAAAGCCACCTTGCTGGAGTTCATCGTGCACTAAAAAGCATAGCTTCAGCTGCACTCGTAAGCGCCATGTCTGGAGGGTACTCGCCATTCAATGCAGTCAGACTGAGCAAACTTTCTGAGTAAACTTGATCATATCAAGTTGCCGAGACTCTGGTGCAGTGAAAGAGGGACACACTAGCTTCCCTTGACAAGGGACAGTTGACAGCTTTTAGTGTACCAAGCCTCTAACCTCTCGTGGTTTCTTTGGGGTCCAGGTCTACCCAATGGCAAGATAAAAGACATTCTGATTTTTCCTCTCTTTCACTTACCACCCACTCTGTTTAGGGCCTCATAACCAATCGGACATTACTCTGAAACCATATCTAGTATCTACGTCATAATAGATATGACATAGATACTATTATGTCATTCTGACACCAGTGCTCACATAATTATGACATTATGTGAGTATTGGTGGATTGTGCCCTGTTGGGATTATCATGGGATTTGGGGTGGCAAAAAGATTTGATAAAAGGGAAGGGACCCTAACCCTAAGCCCCTAGTTTGGAAGTAAAAAATGTTCTATAGGAGCTAAAGATATGAGCAAACCATAGCAAGCAATGTATATATTGGAGACTTTTAGGTGTTCAGGGCCAGAAAACACAGACAACTCTAATAAATTCTTCTGTGCAATTATATGCTCCAGTGAACTCCTTGGAACCACTAGCAAGATAGCTAAAGGGCTGCAGGAACCTCTGACTCTGTAATTATGAAGAAGATCCATCTGTAAGATCTTCAGCTATCTCTTCCCATAATGAGATTATCCTTTTCCCAAGCTCTGTCTGCCCTGCTCTGTTCTACTCCCCTAATTCTATTATGCCACTTTTGTACAAGAGGTGGATTCAACCACCTCGCATTACCAGCCGTGGAAGCGGATCATTAGCATGCATAGGAACTGATCGGATCTGGGGAGAAGAGAACTTCTGTGGAATTCAGGGGAGGAGGGAGCAGTCTCTGCTGAGGACTTCCTGCACTCCAAGATCACCTCCTGCAGGCTCACCCTTCTCTCTGCCTCTTTCCCCCTGCTTGGTAGCCCTGGGCAAGGGCCAGATCACTCTTGCTGGGGTCTGGACTGACCATTTGCAGGGGGCTCCCCAGTCCTTCCCTCACTTCATCTTTTTCAGTTCTGTTTCCCTCCCATTTCTCTACCTTCCCTCTGCCTGTCCCTTTGAGCTTCCTGCAGCTTGCATGAAATTCAACTGAGAACGCTCTTTTCAAAAATAAAATTAAAATGGGAATGCTCCATCCTGGTTCTCCAGGCAGGCCCAGGGTCCTAGGTCTTGCTGCCACTGAAATTTGGCACACTGGCCCTGACAAGCATACTGGAAGCAGCTAGGCCCGGCTGCCCAGTGCTAGTGCAGCTGTGCACACTAAGCAATCCGGCCCATGCCCAGTGGCAGAAAAGAGGGCCCACCAAGGGGCCAGCTGAACTTTGTTGGAAGGATTTCAGAACCCACAGGTGTCTATCTTATGAACTGCCCCCACTCCAGACTCCAACTCCCCACATCCTTCAGGATTTAGCCACTTGTGGGATGTTCTCATTTCTTGCAGGCTTTCTGCTTATGCCGAAAGACATGGGATAGCAAGTGCAGCAACCAAGTAACCACCACTAGTTGCAGAGACTACCACTCCCATCATTCCTGCCCACTGGGCATGCTGGCAGGGGCTAATGAGACTTGGGGTTCAAAGCAACTGGAATGTACAGGGTGGCCTCCCTGTGAGCTTGTGGACCGCTTAAGGGTCCTTCCTTGTCTTCCCCCAGGAGTTCTGTTGTCCTGGTTGTAACAATAGTCAATGTACTCATTTTAAATGATCTCTTCATCTAAATTGTGCTCCTTTGTGTGATGCTACAACAAAAGGAATGGTTATTGCTGAATGAGGTTTTTCCTTCATGCACACACAATTAGAGAGGTCTGGGGGTTGGACAGTCTTCTTGTCTCTGGCATATACCTTGGCTTTTCTCAGCAGTTGCTGGAATTCATGTTGCGGCAGAAGGCCATGGTTCTTCACAAAAGCTGGGACCTCAGGTGGACGCTGGGTTTCATAGTAAACCGTACCATGGATCTCCATGTACTTGTTCAGGATAGCCAGAAACTTCTCTTTGCCCTGGGAAAGCAGAGAAATGTGGGGAAACTTAGCTGAGCCTGCGAGACTCAAAGGTTTTGATTCTGCGAGAAGAGCCCTCTTTTGCCTCCTCCTTTTTTAAAGATTGTAGGCCTGAGGGTGAGGACTGTCTAATTATTGATTCTTTTAAGTGGTTCTGGGGGCAGAGGATAAAAACATTTGAAAAAAATACATAAATAAGTTACATCACACTGGCAACCTTACCCTAGTGAAACAAATGATCAAGTGAGGAGAAATGTACTCTGGATAGAAATTATGAGAGATCCACTAGTGCAGTGGTTAGATCAGAGATGTGGCTTGTGCAGCCCTCCTGATGCTACTGGACTGCAATTCCCATCATCACTTACAACTGGCCATGCTGGCTAGGCATGAGGGGAGTTGCAATCCAACCATACACAGAGGGCCACACGTTCCCCACCTGCAGCTTAGTGGATGAGCTGCGAGAAGTTCTGTTCCTGCTTCAGAGTCTCACCTTGCCTATGAGCAACAATAAGCGGATGATGGGATTATGCAATTGGTCCCCTCCGCTCCGTAACGTAGAGAAAACAATGCTGCTTCGCCTTGCTGGGATTTTGTGAGGATTATTGCAACAATCTAGGGGAAGTGCTTTGCACTGCCATGTTTACAAATATGGGAAATAAGCCATTGTCTGGGTTTCTTTGCCACAGCTTCCTTAGCGGAATCTGAACTTATACTGCACCGTTGGTCATTCTTAATAAAAAACCTCTGTCTTTTGGAATTTTTCTTATGGATCAACACAGCTGCCTTTGCTTTTTGCACTGCCTCATAGAATACTAAATTTGACAATTGGGGCCCTAAAATTGGAAAAAGATTATTTCTCATTATTCAAAGGTAGGACTTTATAGTTTGAAGCTACAATATCTCCAACCAATAGCTAATGCAACCCAATTTGGCTAATATTGACTTTTTAACATCATGAAAATGATTTATCGCCAACTTTGCTAATATAAAATGTCATATTCCTGTTTCCTTTGGTTCTCTACCTAACAAGCCACCTGGGCATTTCAACTGAGGTTGAAGACACATCCAGGTCACTGCTGGATTTTATTCTTTCAAAAAATGAGCAAGAAGCCATTGTTTGCCTGTCTCTGTTCCTGCATCACACCTAGATAGCCAAATCCAACTAATTCTGAGCTCTTCCTTTGCTCCTCAGGCCAAAGACTAGGGCCACTGCTGGCTTCATGGCTTGAACTACAAGCCATCTCCCCCAACCCCTGCTTTGCTCAACGAGGAGGAGTCCTGGGGAAGTTGAAACCTTCTCACTATTTTTAAATATTTTTTTCCATGGTCTTAAACATATTGCCCTAATCCTAACCCTTACAGTTCAATATGGCTTCCTTTGCTCTTTACAACTGGAAGCTCAGGTAACAGCAGTGGCGAGGAGCGCTTTCCTCCAGCTTCGGCTAATTCATCAGCTGCGCCCCTATCTGGAGAATGACTGCCTTGCGACAGTGACACATGCGCTGGTGACTTCCCGTCTGGACTTCTGTAACGTGCTCTACGTGGGGCTACCCTTGAAGACGGTCCGGATACTTCAATTGGTCCAAAATAGAGCTGCCAGGCTGCTGACGGGGACTGGACGTTATGTTCACATGACTCCAATTCTCCGTCAGCTTCACTGGCTTCCCATTGAAGTCCGGGCCCAATTCAAGGTGTTGGTAATGACCTATAAAGCCCTAAACGGCTTGGGTCCTGGTTACCTGAAGGAGCGCTTACATCCTTATATGCCCAGCCGCCCCCTGAGATCGGCGGGAGAGGCCCTTCTCCAGGAGCCCTCCATGGAAGAAGTTAGGAGGGTGGTTACTCGGAAGAGGGCTTTCTCAGCGGTGGCGCCTAAGTTATGGAATGCGCTCCCCAGAGAGGTCCGCCTGGCGCCGTCGTTATTTGTTTTTCGGCGCCAGGCGAAGACCTTTTTATTTAAGCAGTATTTTAAATGTTAATATTATTGAATTTTATTTGGCCAGGGCGGCTTGTTTTATAGTGTATGTTTTATGTTATATATTTGTATTTTATTGTATATATTTTAAAATGTTATTTTAATTTTTTGTTGTAAGCCGCCCCGAGGCTTCGGCGAATGGGGCGGCATAAAAATGTTTTAATAAATAAATAAATAAATAAAATATATGTCATGCTGCCCTGTCCCAAACCTGTAAGAGATATTTATTTATTTATTTACATGTGTATTTCTAGGCCACCTATAACTGCTGAGGCCTTCCTAGGTCACTTACAATACATAAAATATGTGTCCTGCCCTGACAGAGAAGTCCTGCCCATTGGTATAAGATTGCCTTTGATCACATGATGTCCTGGTAGACTGCTCTGAGAAGGAGGCTCTGCCTGCTAGAAATCAAGGGTGAGCACTCTGCTGGCCTTAGCCTTTGGCTGACTTTCAAAAGCCTTCTGTGAGTAGCCACTTCAGCCCTTTTGCAGGAGTAACTGACCCTCTTCTGGTAGCCCACCGGGTGGGGAGTGGGAGGCAGAGGGAGATGGAGAGAGAGAGAGAGGAGAAGTGACTGAAAGGCCATGAGGGCCATGGCTCTTGGGCAGAACACACGCTCTGCGGGCAGAAGGTCCCAGGCTCAAGCCCAGCAGCTCCTGCTTAGAGGAGTGGGTAGCAGGTGATGGAGCAGACCTGCGTGTGAGGCCTTGGAGAGGGACTGCCCCGGAGAGTCAGCAATGCTGGCCTAGATGGAACGACAGCCAGATCTGGCTCGGGGCAGCCTCCCACGGTCCCCATGGCAGGAGAGACGTAGCTTGTTCGGCACTGCACTTCAGGGGCCCATCTCAGAGCGCAAGCTATATTTTAGGCAAATCACCCGGGAAGAAGCCTGTTCTCGCCAGGAAGCGCTGCCTGCAAGAAGAGCATGTATACATTTGTTATTTTTATATCCTCTCCAAGGAGCCCAAGATGACTCACGTGGCCCATTTTCTCTCCATGTTCTCTCTACAACAATTCCATGAGTCCATGACTGGTCCAAAGCCACTCAGTGAGTTTCATGGCTGAGTGGATATTTGAACCCAGTCCAACACTCTAATTACTTATGTAAGTGTATTTAAATCAACAGTATAAGCCATTAATTTCATTTAATGCATTGTCAATGAAATTACTTTGGATGTTGCATCATAGCACCCAATAGCACCTGATCCTGAACCATGGCCGCTGTGGGTATGGCACAAGCTTGACAGAGGATTGCCTGGTGTCATACTTTGCAAAGGTCAGTCCTCTGTTTGATGGGCTGTCCAGTCCCAAGCCTGGTTTAATGGACCACCAGAAGGGAGACCAACAGGGGACTATGAAGTTGCCCTTCAGCACTTTGCACCTGGGCATAAATTGAACGGGCACAACAGTTTGCTGAGCACAAGCTTCCCCTACAGTGAGACATGCTGTACTTCGATGTAAATTGCAGTAATTATCTCTAAATTTGCATTTATACATATAAATTATCATTTGTACATGTAACACAAATCTGTGCCCTCTTCTTTTCATGACACATAGGTCGCAACTACCTTGATTTCTGCAAAGGACACATCAAACGCAACCCCGGAGGAAGGCTGGGGAGGGTTCATTGCACAGCAGAAGCGGATGGCCTCTTGATTACCTACACCTTGGAAAACTAAGGTCCTGGATAAGGGAGACAGTTGTTTCTCCCTTGCTTGATTGCTTCATTGCAGGGAAAGAGACAGATTTAAGTGGGAGCAAAAGAAGACAGGTTTTGTTTTGCAGCTTCTAGCACCCTGCCTGTTGGGAATGCAACTTGCCTGCATTAGGTTGATTAACTCTGGAGTTCATTGACGCTACCTTTTAAGAATAGCACACTCCTGGTAAGGACTTCATTATCAAGTTCACTATCAAATGAGCAGGACTGCAGATCAATACATGTCATGCCATGTTTCCAAGTGTGGATCTTCCTCCCCTAACAGCATAAATCCTGCCCAAGAGAAGCACCTTCCCCTTTGGATTCAGCTGTGCTCAGCATTGCCCTTTGCAGAATAGACCTCCTTTCATCCTCCCCCTGGCCCCATCTCCAATTTCCTCATCAGCACTAAATAGCCCAAACCCGCAACATTATACTGTGATGTGGGGGGCAGAGGCAGAAGTGATGTTTACCCGAGCCCAGCAGTAAGACATTACTTCCCTCCACAGAAACATCACGCCTGTTTTTCTCATCAGTTCTCATGGACTGAGAGGGGGAGAGAGCCCTGACCACGCTTTGTCAAGCCTTGTTCACCTGCACCATTGACAGCAGCAGCCCCAAGCCTCAAGCTGTTATGGAGACAGCACGAATGTTGCAGCCGCCGAAAGACACGGCTAGTGGATGCGGAGCCATCTCAATATCCATCTGTGCATCACGCTGGATCCCGACTGAAGCGGGATCGACCAACCGCACGGGCAGAAATGGACTTCTCCACACTCAATTTCCACACCACTCTGAAAACGCTGTACAGACACCCGGTTCACACAAGCATGGAGGGGGAGATAAGTCATGGTGGGCAGGTCCAGACGACACTTTAAGCCCAGGGATTAAAGTTGCCCGGGGACAAGGCCATCCACTTCCCTGCTCCATGTGCCCACCAAGCTAGAGAGCAGACTCCTGCTTTTCTAGCACCAGCAAGAGTGTGGGGCCAGGAAGACAGCCTGGGGATGAACCTCTTGGAAGCACAGCACACGGTGCCCCTCCCTTCCTGCTGCTCAGCCATGGTTGGGCTCAGCTGAGCCAAGCAGAGGCTGAGCGATGGGGAGGCAGACACAGGGCAGGGGCCACTTTCTGATTGCCCTCCCTCAGGGAGGCCATGGTGGAAGCCTCTGCCCACCTTGCAATCGCTGTGAACGACATGCTAAGCTACTGCAGGTTTCCTAAATCCAACAACTGTGGGGTGGTTTATGAGCCACCTCAGGGTAGCTTATAACCCAGAAAGCAGAGAGGCTCAGATTATACACTAAGCGCCACTGGCCCACCCACCCCCAGCATGTTGCATGAACCCAGTCAGGGGCCCATTTCACCCACCAATGGGCTGCTTTGTGTTCTAGGGTGGCTGTGAACCATGGCCAGGAGCCACCCTTGCTGGATCTGCACGACATGGCAAGCCATGCCAGCAGGGCTACTTAGGCAGGTCCCCCAGCATGCGCGAGCAGGTCCAGAGAGTCGGGGACCCTGCTGTGTGGGGTGCGCTGTGGTGTAGGGGGAAGGGGGATCCCCCAAAATTGGGTGGAGCGCTTTTTCACAATGGGAGCCCTTCCTTCTGCAGAAGGCAGGTCCTGGATCCAAGCCTTCCATTCATGGTGACAACATGTTTGGTCCTGCAGCAGAGGGGGGATGCCCTTCTAAGTGTGCAGCATTTTCTACACCTGAGGGCATCGCGTACCAAGTATGAGCATGGGCAGTCAAATGGCAGACTACGCGCCCAACCGGGTAGGCCACATGGCACAGCTAGAGATGGGTGGAACTGCAGGATTTGGCTATTTGGGGCAGGACCAGAGAGGCCAGTCTGGACTCCACCAGCCCTTCAGCTCCGATCCCACTGTGGGTACGGCAGACTCTAAAACGCCCCTGGTTTTGTCCCTGGGCCACGTGCTGCAGGACAGCACTGCAGTGGCACGTGGGATGGGGCGCGGATCCACTCACACCTGGCAAAGCCCAAGCCCGCCTGCCTGCCTGCCTGGAGCTGCAGCTGGGGTGTGCTGGGTCTAGCCATACATGCACACAGCACACGGTGACGCGGAACCGCGTCTCCCTTGAAGTGGGAAAGATGACACTGTCCAGTGTGGCCAAGGGTCTCCCAGGAACAGAAGGAAATGAAACTGACCCAACAGAGGGTGGCACCAGCTCCCAACTAAATGCGTGTGGAAACAGATAAAGCAGGGCTGGATTATTTCTGGCCCTCCAGGTGTTGCTATCTTAGACTGCAACTCCCATCATCCCTCGTCATTGGCTATGCTAGCTAGGACTGATGCAAGCTGAAGTCCAGAAATATCTGAAGAGCTGTAAGTTATCCCCGTGGATGTAAAAGATGTAAAAGTCTTTATTTCATAAAGCAACATATCAAATTGTTCCAACACATATTGAGCGTGCCAGCCGGCAGCGTCTGGTGTACTCAAAAGGGATTTGGAATTGACTTCTCTACTACAAGGTTTATTTCTCATACTAGAGCCTGCTGAATGAGCAGAGGGGGGTTCAGTCCCCCATCCCCTTCACAAAAGCGAAAAGGTTACATAGAATGAATCTGGTCAGAGAAAGTCAGTCTAAGCATGACCTTTGAGCCATCAGGAAACAGGCTGCATTGCAATGTATCACTGAGCACAGCATATACGAGGAAAACTATCATCTTCTTCTTTTTTGACGTAACACATAAAAAAGCCCACTGAGATAATCCTTTGCAGTACAAAGTAGGGCTTGTATTTTTTCAGAGCAATAAAATGAAGCAGATTCATATCAGGTATTAAGTTCTAAGAATGGATGAGTCACAGATACAATACTTGTTTAAATATGAAGGGAATGCATATGTGTACATGTGCAAATTTATAAACACACACACATTCATATAGTACATAATCCATTCTCTTAAACCAATTGAACACAATGAATAGCCAAGTTGTAATATGTGTTGCATAAAGAGCATGATACCACTCAATCTGGCAAAGATAATTAGGGTGAATACAAGTATAATAATTTCTAAGAAATTCCATAGTTTCTGCTTAAAGCTTGTGCTTTAGCAGAATTGCTTAAAGCCGTCCAATGCCCCCTTTATTGTGGCTACTTGTGGTTTTCTGTATACTGTTTTTGTCCTAGGAACCACCATAGGGTGATGCATAGGATATTTTTCAAATTGGAGGTACACACTGTTTATATAAGGTAGAAACTGAGCAAGGGAAGGAAGAGATGGAAAAGCTCTTTAAGGGAGTCAATAGACCCAATTTGTGTTTATACCCAAGGATTCACTGACCTGCTTTTTTCTGAAAAATGAAGGTGTGTTTAAAAGGAAGAAAACACCTTTTTGCACGTGTGCAAAAGTAGAAAGCAAAAGTAGGGAGCCATGTGTAGAAAAAAAGTGATGATACAGAGGAAAAAAGCAAAGGCATCCACAAACTGGGTTTAATTCCAAACAGTGAGGACCTGCAGTTTAAGCCTACTTGGAAGGCACACAATTTAACTTAAAAGATCTAATTCTCTCTGTGTGGGAGCTTGTAGTTGAACAAAGCCTGCACTTCATTGTGATGGGGATGATGATATCAATATTTCAAGAGTAATTACCAGCTATTGGTCACATATTTCAGGACTCGTTCTAGTAAGCTTCACATTAGATTAGTATCCAAGGCTTCATTTTGGAATGAGTATCTCTTTGTAAAGCACAAAGGTTTCACAACTGAGGCAAGAGACACATCTTCCACAAAACTTAGGTCTTCATAGCAAATCACAGCTACAGCCTGCCCAAACATAGTCTTTCTGCTGGTGATTGTCGCCTGTCCCAGTATTGTGACATTTAGGATTTCACATAGTAAAGACTGGAATTAAAGCTACTCTGAAGGTTTAATGAAGTATTTGTAAATTTTTAAAACTGTACCTGTTATATTTTCTACTTCATTACAAAATCAAAATGTCAAAACAAACATTTGTATTGATATAAATAATATACCTGCATTCAATATGCATGTGTGTGTATTAACTTGTGATACAGCAGTTTGAAGACATGGATTCGTTATACTAACAAGGTACAAGATAAATTAATCAAAAGCTGCTCCAACCCCGCCCCCTTCATCTGAGGTTTGCTCCATGTAGTAATTCAAATGACATTCCGTTTTGTCAAAGGCAATGGATGCTCAAAGCTGAACACTGCTTAGAAACAGCACCGAGGCACCATTCTATCTACTGTAATATGCTGGATACACACATACTTTAAAATAATTTGCCTTTTACTGTACCTGCAACTGGAAATCCCAGGGTGGCACACAGAGAGAAGCAAGAAGGGAAGAGAATTAGTTCCTCTGCATTAATGACAATGCAAGAAAAAGCTATCAGATGATCTAAAGTGGCAGAATGTTTGTCATGACTATAAGGGCTCTTTTGGATCTGACCAAGCTTTCACAGGATCCAGGATTCCAGCTGTTACCAACCCAATGCTTCCCATAAGATGTATAGCATAAAGCTTTTAGCAGGGTGTGAAAGCAGTAGTCCTGCCTCCCTAAAGCCTCCCAAACAAGTGGAATTCATGGAACTTCCTTTTAACAGCTACAACCAATGCGGAATAGCAGTTAGGGAGTTGGGCTGGGGCTCAGAAGATCTGGGTTCTAGTCCCCACTCAGCCCTAAAGTTTTCTGGGTGACTTTGGGTCAGTCACTGACTCGCAGCCTAACCTACCTCACTGGGTGGTTGTGAGGATAAGCTCAAGAAGAGGAGGAGGTCCATGTAGACCTCCTTGATATACGTGCAGGAGGTAAAAGAAGACAGGATAGAAATGTAATAAATAAATAAATGGTCATTAGCCATTAGCAAGTGATAAAACGGTCCTCTGTGAATTTGTCAAGCCCCCTGAAACTGCCATGATCCCAGGGTCTCACTCCACCTCTGGGGGTGAAGTGGACTATGACAGAATGCGGTATGCGTACTAGATACATAGCACACCTGCTTGAAGGACAACCTAGAAAAAGCCTTTCCAGAGCAGACTGAGTGGCATCTAATCCAGCATCCTGCTCCTCCGGTGGTGAAGCAGATGCTGCGGGGAGGCCGACAGGCTGGGCAAGAGAGCGGGAGCCCTCCCCTGCCGCTGTTCCCCAGCCCCTCATATTGAGGGGCCGGGGCCTCTGCTCCTGCGGGGAGCAACATGCAGCCTGCACCACTGCTGGCCACTGACTTGTCCTCCAGGGAGGTCTCAAATTGCTCTGGCAAAGCTCCCGCTGGTGGTCAGCACCTTGGAGAACGTGGCATCCCAGCCTGCGTGAGAATGTGAAGGACAAAGGGGCACAGGAATGAACGGGAGAAGTATCATCCACAGCCACTGGGGGAAGTGCTTTGCCCTCCCACATGAATGCTTCTTCCCAGCACTTGACATCCAAAGTGCGGTGGTCTGTGGAGATATAGCATGTTGGTCCAAGCTGCCCTCATGCTAACTCTTTTGTCTTACAATCTCTTCACCATGAGCCCAACCAATGGCAGCAACTTCTGCCCCACTTTTGCAAACTGGGGCCAGCAACTGACCTGGGCCTACATTTGCTCTGGGAATATTACTCTAAAAGGCCACCAGAATCAACGGTTCAGCATTTCTACATGGCCCATGTCTTTGGAAATCAGCTCAAATGATTTTATAGATGCATTCTATTTATTTATTAAATTTATATACCCCAACCTATAGCCCAATTTAGGGCTAGATATGTTCACCCACAGCATTCAATGGGACTTACTCCCAAGTAAGTTTGCATGGTATTGCAGCCACAAAACATGTAGGACACTTTTGCTTTCTACCACTTTTTAGCAATTTTCTTCTCCACTACTGGAAACTTCTTCCATTGCAATTCCTTTAGTCTGTCATGGCAAAGTATTCATGTCAGTGCTGGCCACCCACCTTCCAGATGCTGGCTTCTTTTCCATAAACCACCGCCATGTTGTTAGCTTTGTTGGATTTAATCAGTTGCTTTTCAGTCTCATTGAGCTCCTCAGACACAAAACCCATGAAGGAATTGTCAGGTGTATGAGCTGTGGAAAATAAATATACACGCATTTGACTGTCCGTGTGCTAATGGGGTTTTTCCACAGATTTGTCTCTGTCCTTGGTAACAACACGAATGGTCCTCTTGCAATGGACTGCCCTGCCCAGGGTCTCACGGAGGCAGTCCTCACCCCGTCCCCATTACGGCTGCATTAATTTTTGCCACCACCCCAGGCCTCCTGCCATGTTGTTACATCGGTCCTCCCACATCTCCTACCAAGAGCACAGCACAATTTTTCTGATAATTCACAAGAGATCTGCTTTGCTAATTTACAAGTCAGTGCATTAATTTTAGAAATGACTCCACTGAGATTTCACACCCTCCATTACACAGTATCTTTGATTTAATAATAGAATAACCAAGAAATACTTAAACTTTTCTTCTCATTAAACAACACTGACATCTCATAAAGGGGGCTGTCTGCAGCAGGGGGGGCAATTAAAAAACGAAAGAACAGGAATGCAACTAACCCAGAAAATGCTATTTTTATAAATCCATAACTCTTGGCTGAGAATTCCTACTTTGGCAGAACCTTTTAAAAATCTGGGTATAATCTCATCATAGTTCTCTGGAGTTTTAACAGCTTTATTTTTCAACAACTCCAGATGTTCGAGGACTAGAATTACTTTAAAGCTGAATTGCCTTGGAGGATGCATTCAACAAATTTTATGGTTTGCTACCTGCAAAGTCAAGGCAACTACAGTCTCCATGTGTGCAATTCAGCCTCTGAAATTCATGGGTTATAATTTCCATCAACCGGGGCCAAGAGAAGGTGTCTTCCCTGCCACTGCTTCTGTTTTTGGGTCTGGAGTTAGCATACATCCATAACCAATAAAAGAAAGGTGGGGACAGCCACACCCATCAGCCTGCTTCAGCATAGCCAGCATGCCAGGGGATGATGGGAGCTGCAGCATAACGGCTGAGCACCATGTATTTTCTACCCCCTGCACTAAAAAGATGTAGATACATTTTTGAAAGGCCACAAAAGGGATCCAAAAAACAAAGGGCACTCTTCCACACACACTCATACCCCCAAAACAGCAGTACCAATCATGGGGACAAAAAACACTTTTAAATCCCAAGGCCCTTCAAATGCCATCCTCTCTCCAGGGAAAACCTGCATCACAAGTAAGTTGGAGCTGCTCGTTTAGTCTTCATTTTAGATGTGTTGCCTTTTTATGCAGCATATCAAGGGTCATGCAGATGGGTCATGAAGAGGCAGCCCCAATCCTGCTGCCCTAATCCTTCACTGCACGTGTTTGGTGAACAAATGCACACTGCAGAACCATGTGTCTGTGTACAAGCTGAACACTCGTGAGCTTGTCCATGTAAGCAGGAAGTCCGCTTTTCCCCAAGTCACACAGTCAATCGGTTCACACAGTCTGGCAAACAAGTGACGGTCAGGAGGTCGATGCCTGCTCCCCGCTCCCCTGCCATGCGTGTTGTGTGAAAAGCGCTTCTGTCTTCAAGACTAGTCTTTGAAGCAGTTGCACTCCATTAATTTGCCTGCATGTAATCTTGAGCTGCAACCAAGTTTTCTAGTCGGTCCCTTTAAAACAAGCCACCTCTGAAACCTCACTGTTTTTCTATGGTTAATTCTCCTCCAACAAGTGGGCAGTTTTTGTGACAGTGCTGGAATAATAGTCCCACAGAGGAATTTTTGGATGATTGCAGCTAAATGTCACCGTCAGCCAATTTGTGTTTATCAGAGCCAGTGCTGTGGTTTGACTAGACTGGAGTGATGCAAGTTCAAATCCCCATGTAACTGTAAGATTCACTGAGTGATCCTGGGACATCCACTTTGTCTAAGCCTGGCCTGCCTCACAAGTTGCTGTGAGTCTAAAAAGTGGTGGAAAACAGTCCTTTTTGGCAGATGTATGTGAAAAAACAAGGCAAAGAGAAAGACTAAAACCACTTAGACAATAGCTATGTAAAATAAAAATGGAAGTTCTGCGTCACCAGTCGAAATCTACAGATGTCTGTAGGGTTGTAATGCTCTGTCCTGGAATCGGGCCCTCTTCTGTCTATCAAGCTACCTCTTGTGCAAGGCCCTCACTTAGAAGCAAGCCGAGCCAAGAGGAAGTCTGCAAATGCTCATGGACAGCACAAGCTTCAACCTTCTTCTGCAGTGCATGCAGAACAAACAAAGGCTACATGTCGCATGCACAGAAAGAGAGGCTGCTTGTGAAGTATTTGAGCTAGACTGCTTTCTGGAGAGTGCCCACATGAATGCTTGGTGTGCTCACCGGGAGGTTGGATGCACAGCCCCAAATCTGGGGAACTGTGCCTAGGGAATCTGATGGATTCCCACCCTCAATATGGGTTCCTCAAACATCCCTAGATATGCCCATGGTGTACTCTGAAGAACAGGACCAGAAGCTCGCCATGATGCGGAAGATGTTTTAGTTGGCCCTTATAGATGGTGTGGAATACTATGAATTACTCTGTGTCACTGCAAAAGACCTTACTTCGAAATGGTACAGTGTTGGTGCTTGTCATACTTGGGTTCACAATGAAATGACACCAGTGCAGGCATATTTCCCAAGTAAGACAGGAATTGTAGTTATCAGCTCAAGCTCAGCCAGGCTGATAGAAACACGAGAAGCTGCTCTCTACTCTGTCAGATCATTGGTTCATCTGGTTCCACGTTATGGACACTGATTGGCAAAGGCTCTCCAAGATTTCAAGCAGGGGTTCTCTTATCCTACCTGGAGATCAAACCTGGGATGTTCTGCATCTACAGCCTGGGCTCTACCACTGACTTAGGGTCCCTCTCTCCACTCAGGACAGTTGGCTGCCTCTAAAGACAACACGTTTCTGTATATGTTAATCCTCACACAGCGCTTAATCAGACCAAGGCCTATCTAGTCTGTACACACAGTGGTCAATCATCTGCCTGTGGAAAGATCACAAGTAGAACATTTTTAAAGCCATCCAAATTGGTGGTCAACAATATATCTTGTGGCAGTGGATTCCACAATTTAAATATATGCTGTGTGTAGGGCTTCCTTTTGTTTCTCCTGTGGGGATTGGGTCCAGAACCTCTGATGATGTTCCCCATAAAGACAAAGGAGGTGATTCTGAGTCAGGAGAAGTGGTAGAAGTTGAAGATGCTGGTGAAGCACCACGGATGATGGAGCAGGAGACTGAAAAGAATGTCTGGGACAAGGAAGAAAAAGTCCAGCTGTCATTTAATATGTCAGAGGTCAGCCTTTTATACCCATGAGAATGCAGGCTCCTAACAAAGAGGAGAAGGGGTGGAAATAGAAGACCCAGGAGTCAGGCATTGGGTGAAAAGGTCATGCAGGGTCACTCTGTGATCAAAGGGTCTTGCAGCCAGGGAGCTGACCATGTGGGCAGAGGAGTTTTGAGAGATGGACTTGCTGGCCCACTGAGCTTGAGAAGGACAGGCCAAAGCAGACATGGTCATTTTCATAACAATTCTCATTGTATTCTGATGGAGGATACAAATTAAAACTGATGAGGTTCTGCATTATGAACCCTTGCCTAGAACAGGTCTCTTTGGATTACATGAGCATGCTGACTGTAGCCTGAAGCTATGCTTGCTTGCTTGTAGTTTGCACACACACAAAGCCATTGACTGGAAATATGGCTTAATTACTTGATCACAAAGGAAGGGGCGCCAGGGGTCAGGCATATGACATCTTCTGGTCTCCCACCTTGGAGTCCGTCTCCATACCATGCTTATTCACTTCAATCCTGTCTCCCTCCATTTGCCGTTTGTCTAAGCTAAAGAGTCCCACCCATTGCAACCTTCCCGCACTGTGGAGCTGCCCCAGTCTCTTGGTCATTTTTATGTTATTTGGTTGCCCTTTCCTGAAACCAAGGTCCTTTCCCTCTTTAGGCCTTTAGCAAGAACGGTTTGTTTCTCACTGGACCTGTACTGATTTCCCGCTGTATCACAGCTAATTCTGAGACTGATTTTCTACAACTTCATTTCTCAAAAGAGAGGGCACAAAAATAATGTTTTAACATAATGCCAGTTTGCAAAGGCCAGTTTGTTGCATTTCTAATCTAATCCTGGGGTTATTTTTACCATAACATCCCACTCTTCCTGCTGTCACTTTGCTTCTAGCTGGGAGAGGAATGATTGGTTATCTTGGCAGCTCCCAGAGAGAAAGACAGACTTGGATTGAAATAGCTCCATGTCAGTTACAAGTCTTTCGCCCTGACCAGGCTGGGGAGAAGGGGAGATGCTGAGGCAGCCTGAAAACATAATTAGCAAAACAGTGGGAGTGGGACAGTAAAGTATGAAAGCTAATTAAAATGGCAGGCCCCATTAAGCTGGCTTTTCCTTGGGGCATCACTGCCAAGGTTAAGGTCAGGTAGAATCAGCAAATCTGCCTATCTGGACCCCTTGGGAAATCAACTTTGAGGTGCAGATGTGGCAGAATCTCTGGCTTCCCTTCCATGAGATGGACATAGCATAGGGCAGAAGCATTTTTATTTCCTGCTTCATGGCACCTTTGGGGCTCCTTCATCTTATCAAGCCTTCAGAGCTATTCCTCATGCTTTATTTCTACAGTCTTTGAGAATGGCAGAGTGTCAATTAATCTATACAAAAGATACAGGCAATTGGTTCAACAGGCAATCCAAGTGGGGATGGGAAAAAGAGCATCCGGCCAGTTGTGGTGTGATCTTGTGGACTGATTTAGTGGTTGTGTAAATGGCCGACTGCTCACAAATGATAACCTGGATACTTTCAGGGCAAAGAACCTGCCCCCGCCCCTACACTCACAGTTCTGTGCCCTGTGCTAGGGGATGCCCACCCGCTCCAGGTTCATTCCCACTTGGTACCCCTATCTTCTTCAAACTGAACCTCAGCTTATGGCTCTCATCCAGTTCATTACCAAACCCAGGGATTGATTCACAATGGCCATTGCCTAACCAGGATTTGACAAAAGACAAAACAAGAACAGACAGAGCTGGGTGTCAGCAGCATAATGGGGTAATTCAGTCCAAATCCCTGGATAGTTTCCCACAGTGGTTTTGCATTGGCACTGAAGAGCCTGGGGAATAAAACTGGGCTCAGAGGCACCCCATGGCTTCACTGCCAGCAAATAAAGCAGTGCTTCCTTTGCATCTGTGGGCATCCAAGTAAGAGAACCGCTGCAGCATAGCACCTCTAGCAGCCAGCCTAGATTCACCAGTAAGAAGGACACTATGGTCCATTGATCCTCTCCGTGCTCCAAAGAAGCCCACAAACAGAGCATGCTGCCCCTATGCTCGGCTCGTGGGCTCCTGGAAGAAACCTGGATAGGCGCAGTCGGAAAGAGGGTGATCAGCTAAATGGGCTTTGATCTGACCCCACAAGGCTCTCATTGCTAACCTGTGCCTGACTGTGCCGGAGAATATAAGAACAGCCCTGTTGGGTCTCACCAGCACAGGCTCTCAATAAGAGTATTTCTTCCCACGGTGGCCAGTCAGATGTTCCGCTGGGCGGCTCAGCACATGACACGAGCATGAAACACCCACGCACTTGTATGTGTCAACAGCTGGTATAGAGAAGCATGCGGCCTCCAACACTGGAGGTGACTAGATGCAGCCCTGACAATTAGAAGCTGCTGATCACCTTCTCTTCCAGGAAGCATTTCTTATCTACTGACAAACGTGGTGAGCACTTACGAAACATTGTCATGAACTGCTTGGGATTCAGGTTCCAGTAGCCCCAGTTTGTCCGGTACCCATGCAGGGTGGCGTATTCCTCGTGATTGTATGCAGGCTCCGTTCCAAAAGTGTCAATTACTCGCACACGGCACCTGTGCAAGGGAAGAAGGGGAGAAAAGTCACGGCCGGTTATGGCCTGTGTGGGAACAATGGACAAAAAATGAGCTGGAGAGTCATTATCCAGAGGAATGATGCCACACACAGCTGGAGTGGAGGGTCTCACTTTCTAAGATTCCTGCTTTAAGAAGCTCGGGGGCCCCCTGGGGTCTCCAACAGGCAGTGACAGACCCCTTCGCTGCAGGGACCAATTAGAGGCGGCAGCATCCTTGCTGCTGCACGTTGCAGCGTGTGCCCTGAACATGACCTTTGGGACAATGTACCGAAACAAAGTCAGCTGTGCCCTGGAGCCTGGACAATAAGAGCTGAGTTGGAAGGAGTGTGGGATGCAGTTACAATTCGACAACAAGCAGGAGTCTAGACAAAAGTATCAAAAGCCACAGCTAGCGTGGTTGAAGAAGATTTAGGCTGAATAGATTCAGCCAAGCAGTAGCTAAGCACTACTGAACACTTGAGCATCCAGCCAAGGGGAAGATGTAATAGAAGGTAAAATCAGGCCATAAAGCTATGCATAGAGGGTCCTTTATCCAACACGGTACCAGGGGCTAATTTTTGTGTTATGTGTAAACTTCTTGCCTCTCAACAAATAATAGGACAAATAAGAGACACAGCTCAGGCAACTGCTTTCTTCTTCTCAGTTCCGGCTGAGACCCTGTTAAGCCACGTTTATTTTGCAAACATGCAGCAGAATGGAAACTGGCGAACAGACAGGGGTGTTTTACATTGCAAATAGCTGAAGAAGCTCTGCTATTCAGCCCACGTCCAAATACAATCCCGCCATATGTTTTGCTGTGTATTTGCTGAAGGCATGTCATATGAAATCAGCAAAGCAACTATGGGTAGGGATAGTGTGTGATCGTTCTGGCCGGTTACTAGAAGCAAAGCAGCTGTTAGGAGGTCATGCCAGAAATGGTCTTTCCACAGTCAGGGGCCGGGTGAGGAGAGGAAGGGCTCTTCCAGCACCAGCCAGTTCATGCAACAGCCTAACTCCAAACGCCAGAAGGAAATTAGGAGCTGTGGCTCAGTGGGTCCCAGGTTCAGCCTCCGCAATCCCTAGGTGGGGCTGGGAAAGTTTCTGCCAGAAACTTGCTGCCAGCCTGCACCAACAATACCAGGCCAGATGGACTGCCTCATATACAGCAATTTCCTTTGTGCCCATGAAATGGAGTTCATTTGGCTGCTGCAAGTCCTGCTCTGGGTGGAAGAAGTCACCTTTCTTCTACTGATGATTTGTTACATGCTAAGGCCAAAAGGGGGAAAGAGAGAGGGCAGTTGCAATTAATCCTGATGAAGCAAAGTTCAGAATGCAAGCTTTGCCAGAGTGAGAAACTTCACCCCACTGCAAGCTGGACCAAGTTCCCACAAAGCTCAGTTTTGACTTGCAAGGAGGTCTGCTTCTGCTCCTACACCACTGTTAGTAATTCTTCCATCTCCTCTATAGGCAAAAAAGGCTGAACTTTGAGAAGGAGGAGAGCCGGTTGTCAGTACAGGGAAGAAGTCAGTGACAGGAAAGGCCAAAGCAAGTCATATCTTCAACTGGAACTGTTAAGGAAACAAGAAGTATCTGCTGCCAAGGCTGGCCCTTCCATGAGGTGGGATGTATCCCTGGACTCAGGCAGTAGATCCCAAGGGCAGCAGATTCTGGTACCAGAAGAACTGCATGCTCCACCTGGTCATCCGGAACACCATGCTGGCCACTCGCCTGCTGCAGCAAGTGTGGCTGGTGCAGCTCTGGAGCAGTGTGCCCCATGCCCCACTTGGAGGACCCTTCAGAGCATGGCACTGGGTCTGTGGACTCTCTAGGAAGGCTTGTCAGCCACTCAGAAGAGAGAGCAGCCAACATGGCTCTGCCAAACACCCAGTCCAAAAACTTTGCTCTGAGGGGTCCTTCCTGAGAGCAAGGCAATGGCATGGAGGCAGCCGTGCTGCTGCTGCTGGAGATCATGTGTTGCTGTCAAATTTTGGTGTTACATAAAAGCATCACACACACACAAACAAGCTCACCATTGCCCTTAAGTTGTAATCAACCCACCAGTTCGCAATTACCTGGAACAAGTTGCCCGCATGAGTAGAAGAAGTAAGTTGATGACAGGAGATAAAATGAAGGGGTGGACATCAACAATAGTGAGAAGTAGGGACTGGAGAAGAGGGAGAAGAACAGAAGGTAAGATGGGGGTGGAGATGGCAACAAGGCCCTGGGGCAACGATTTGCCGAAGCCCAGCGGAACAAAAACGAAACACAATTAAGTGATCCTGATGGCAAATGTTTGCGTCCCATGGGACTCTGTAATGATTTAAAGTGTCTTGAGTGTGTTTCTTTCAATGTTGGCAAGCCTTCAAAGAGCAATGGAGGTAAAGAGGGGATGTGTGCGTGAGCTAACTGCTTAGTGACAGAGGGTATATGGGCAGAGCCTGGAAGTGTGTGAGGAGAGGGAAATAGATATTTCTCAGTCAGTCAGCAGCTGATCATCGGGCCACAGAATCTGAAGAGGCAGTCTTCTCATTTGAATCTCATAGAGTGCTGTGAAAATCATTGAAGAGTTTAAAGAAGGAAGTGGAATACTTGGAGGACATATTAGTGACTAGGAAGAGTCAACACCCAATATGATCAAGTATTATAAAGGTGCGATTGATAGAAGCTGACAGAAACCTGAGTGCAGAAGGGTAAGATTGAACTGAGATAAATATAATAAACACTGAACAAAGAACATTCAGAAGAGAAAGAAGGATTTGAGAGTGAGGAATGAAGGGAAAGAGTGAGATTATCTGAGTCAGAAGTTATTCATATACACTTTTATTTAATAAGAAAATAATTTATGGAGCATCTTGAAACCAATCTGTTTCTTGCACAAAAAAGTTTTATTATGTTTATTGTTAACCCAGAGTCATAGGCTGTTTCAATACCAGAGTCTCATCCTCAGGACCACATAGTCCAACAAAGGAGCCTTTATAGCTTGTGCACAATTCAGTGGAAGAAATTAATTAATAAGTTTGGATTTAAATTCCTGGTGGCAGTTACATATTGAAAGAAAGAGAGGGAAATATCAAGATGTTAAAGACACTCCATATCCAAACAAAATATAGAAGTTTCCTCGTGACAGACTCCATTATGAAGGTCAAAATGTTCCAAAATGTGAAGAAGCTTGGTATATGCAGGCTTGAAGATATGTACTTTTAGCCTTCCCCAACCTGGCACCTTCCAAATATATTGGACAACAACTCCTATCATCACTTAGCAGCATGGTCAATGGGATGATGGGAATTATACTTTGACACATCTTGCGGACACCAGGTTGGCCAAGTTATACGTTTAAACCTGGCTGTGCACCTAGTTTCACAAGGGTTCTGTTTTCTCTGGCAGATACTTCCCCCCCAGTTCCTAATCCTCCTGAAAATGGCTTGTAACATTAATAGGGAAAAAGAGGGGAAACCAGAAACACAGCACAGGTATAAAGCAAGCCCATGAATACCAAACCTTCTCCTCCAACCAAGCTGAATGTAGAGAGGAAATTGATTTATAATAAAAGCAATAACACCTCCTGCCATCTTTCTCCCTCATAAAACTGTATAGGGTAATGGGAAGGATGGGGGGAAAGAGTAATGAATAGCAGGACGATCAGTACTAAATTAAATCACACAATTCTGCTAGCTGCTGAGCTGGCAAGAGTCTGTGTGTCGCTGCTGTATGTGTCTCTGTGCTGAAGAAGAGGGTCAGAATAGGCATTCGGTGTCCTGGAATGATCTGTCCCCTGTGCCTGGCTCCTCTCCTCTCCTCTCCTCTGATGTTTGTGGAACACACCTGCCATGGGTTGATATTTTATATACTCTTGATCTCTCCAACACATGTGAAATGCATGTGCCTTTGCATTCCTCACAGACAGCAGTACTATTATTTTATTTAAAAGAGTAGTATGGGGTTTGCTGTTTCCTCTCATAAGCACTCCCCAGCATGTGGCCATGGCAGTCAGGAAGCAGCATGGAGGCCATTTGCTGGGCAGTTTACCAGCTGTCAGAGCCATGGAGACAAACAAAGTGGAGGGAAGTCTAAATCTGGAGGATGCACAAGAAAGTTATTGTGGGTTGCCTGGCTTGAAGGAAAAGGTAAGGCTAAAAGTTCAAGCAAGTTTCCATTTCGACTCATTAGAATGTTGGAATGATTGTGAGGAGCCCCACCCTCAGAAGGGGAAAGTAGTGCAATGCATTTTTGCCCTTTTGAATAGGCAACCAAAACAAAACCAAACCCAGCTATTAAGAGGGAATCCATTTAAGTAAAACCTTTGTAAATGCTTACCTTTGATATGGACAAATGCTATGCAGAGCCATAATTTCAGAGGGATAGGAAAAGAATGGAAATGTTACTGAAAAACTAGCCTAGAAGACCAGGAGATATGCTGCCCACCCACTCTGCCAGGCTGGCTAAAAGCATAAGAGCATCTCAACTTGGAAAAGCACTGAGAAGTGAAGCTCACTATGAATTGTTTATCAATTAAAACTAATCACTTTCTCATGGTGGTGTAGCTGTTGGTGGGTTAGTATCTCCTTTTCAGGTTCAGTCCAGTATGGAGTCCAGTTCTTGACAGCCCAGGACCACCTGGGATAGTGCCAGGGTCCTCTGAGGCGACATGTTTCTTGGGGACATCTGGCTCTGAAGGTGCAAGCTTGTAAAAGAAAAGAAGTGTGGGGCTCATGTCTCTCTTGGTGACAGGCTTTGTGGAAAAGGCATGTATAGCAAGAAGGTGATGAGGGGACATGGGACAAGAAGGGGCAGTGACTTAAGATTCCTTAGACAAGGAGGTAACAGTGGCAGGTGCTTCTTCCCAGGAAACCGTGTACATATGAGAAGTACTGAGCATGCTTCAGTTAAAGTTCCTGAAGTGTATGAATATTTGTGCTGTGGCTATTTTGTCTCTCACTCTCCCTGTGATTATTTTGAGATAAAAATCTTTTTTCTTTAAGTTTTTTTAAAGTGTTCAAATGCAATGTGTTCTCTGATGAGACAATACCCCGATCATTACACCAATGACATTCCAGAACCAAGACTGAAGAAAAATGCAACCCCAGATAGAACGTGAGTGGTCAGTATCATGTCCACCCATCCTCAGCTTTGAAGAACCTGGTAGAAGCCATGCATAGAAAGAAACTTGCAAATTAAAAAATGCACCTTTATTTTGATGCCTGTCCAAGCAGGCACCATGCTGTCCTCCTAGACAGGAAGCCAGTGGGTTAGGGACCATGCTGCAGAAGTGCTGCCCCTGAATATAACTTGGTATAATGTGATTCAGTTGGAATGCTGGACTAGGGAATGGATAAGGGGAAAAAGCCAATGCAAGGATTGCACAACATTTCAAGATATGATTGTAGAAAAGGAAAAACAAGAGAATAAGCGGATGAAAGGGATAGTAAGTAAAATTTATAAGCAATTATTACAAGAACAGGAGCAATATGATTCACTTAAAGCAACATGAGAAGTGAATTTGAAAAAAAAATTGTAAGGAAGACTGGGAAAGTATTTGGATGAAGAGGATACTAAAATGTATGTCAGTAAGAATAAAGGAAAATTTCTATAATATTGTATGGAAGTGGTACCTAACCCCAGTGAAGTTGGATTGTATACACAATAAATATTCCAATTTATGTTGGAGCTGTGGTCATGAAGTGGGTACATATTTTCATAAGTGGTGGGAATGTGAATATTTAATGAAATTTTGGAAAGAGGTTTTTAAAGAGTATAGTAGAATATTAAGTCTAAATATAGACATATGCCTTGAGATTGCATTACTTTCAATGTTTGATTTAAAAGAAATGAATTGGAATAATAAAGAATTAATAAATTTAATAACTGCAGTGAGACTAATTACAGCTAAGAATTGGAAAATAAAATACAATTACCAATTGTATGATTGGTATAGAGACATTTGGAACATAGTTATTAATGACAAATTAACATGGGATATTAAAATGAGAAAAGGGCACATAAAATAGGTTTAATGAGATTTGGGGTAAGCTTTAAAAAAAGGGAAAGGATATGAGCCCTCAAAAGAATCATTATGATTTTGGAAGGGGGAATGTCCTGAAGTATTTGAAGGTATTTTTTCTTTTATTTGTGACATCTATCCTTGGTCCTGGTGGTGGGAGCACAGTAGTGGAATAATTATTTTTATTGTGTGTTAATTTTATGCTTGAATTTTAAATGTAGGGTTTTTTGTTTGAATTTTAATTTTTAAAAATTAAAAAACAATAAAAAATAAAGTTCTGCCTTCTTCACCAGAGGTGGCCTGCCTGCATACACCAGTTGCTGAGGAGCTTGGTGGGTGGAGGTTTTGCACCTCTCCTGCCTGAGGGAACCTGTGGGCAGCTGACTGGATGGGCCTTTTCTTATGTTCTTCTACCCAAATACTATTGGAATTGGTTCTGGACCCTCCAGCGTAACACGGCCACATCCATGGCCACATCCATACCTCGGAGAAAACAGCTTGGAGGGGGCTGATTTGTAAAAGAATGGGAAGGAGTGAAGCAGCCTTTTCTATCACCTGGTCTGGTCTCCGAGGCTGCTTTGCCTTAAAACTCTGGAGGGGGAAAGGATGAGTCAGCTGAGCACGGCCAGTACTTGGAGCCCAGAATACAGTGAAGGGAGGGGTGCGGATGGTTAGAGCAATGCAAATGATGAGTGTCCTGCAGGGCCAGGAGAGATATTTGATGCCTGAAGAGTAAGGTTTGTTACACTTTGTAAGGCACCAGCAGAGATGTAGCGAATAGACCACCTGCACGCCAATTCCATCACTGTCATTTCCACCAGCTGCCTTTAAAAAGAAATACAGGGGATGGAAAAGAAGGGGAAAAGGGAGCGAGAGACAAAAAACAACCAAAGTCTCCTTACCTGTATTTTTTAAAGGAGAGACCCATGTGTTGCTTCATTTGCTGCAGCCCGTGGTAGTCCGTATAAATGAGGTCAAAAGGCAAAGGGACCGTCAAGGGGCAATTGCCCCGGCCAGGAGGTACTCCTAAGTTACTAGAAAGAACAAGAAAGAGGTGATCAGTATTTAAGGGAGGGTAAGGGTGATAATCTGTTTGACATCCCTGCTCCATGGGGACAGTTTGCATAAAAGTTGCAGAGAACACCAGAATAATTACAAAGCACCAGCTCAAAATAAAGACCAAAGCATACCCCAGCAATGCAATACATTATCAGTTTAGTATATTATTTACTCAGAAGTGCACCACTAGACCAGAGGTGTTGAACCTCTTTCAGTTTGAGGGCTAAACAGGTCTGTAGTCAACCTGAAAATATGTGGGGGGAGGGGGGGCAGGCACCAACAATAAATGGGGGCAGTTTAGGTCTGCAGGCATTTTAAAGACAAAACTGCTTTTTAAAATCAATGCTTATTGATTTGCCATCATGCCTGTATTTATGCACATTCAAAAATTTCCACTAAGCAAGTTCAACCCTTGTTATGGTTCTCAGTACCAATTAACAAAAAAGGTAAAAATCAAGAATAACCCATTAGCAGCATTTCAAGACAAACACACAATGGGGACATTCTTATTGAGTTGGAAAGGGCCAATTAGTCCAGTTTAGGGCATCCCTGACCGATGTCCACCCATTCACTTTTTGAGTGCCTCTAACGGAGAACCCGCCACCTTGCTTGGCAGTTGGTTCCACAGTCTACCTGTTCTGGCCATTAGAAAGTTTTCCTCCATGTTCAGCTGTGACTTGCTTTCCTGCAACTTAACCAATTATTTGGTATCCTGCAGTCTTGAATCTCAGAGGGATCCCTTATGTCTGAGAACCCTTTAGATTCTTGAAAAATGGTATTGTCCCCCTGCCCCCAGTCATTCTCCTCCCAGATAAGCATACCTAGCTTCTTCAATCTTTCCTTGATCATCTTTGCTGCCTTGCTCTGAACTGGTTCCAATTTATCTGAAGTGTGGTGTCTAGAACCGGACACATTATTTGAGGTGAGGTCTAATGGTACAGAGCAGAGCTATCACTTCTGATCATTTCAAAACTATACTTCGATTGATGTGATTTAACATTGCATTTCCTCTTCTGCAGCCACATTGCACTGTTAACTCATGTTCAGCTTGTGATTGACTGCAACTCCAAGATCCTTCTGACATATCCTTTTGGCAAGCCAGAGACCTCCACCCCTCTTAATCCTGCATTTTATCTCTTTTTCCTAAACTGGGAACTATGCTCTTGTCTCTTTTACATTCCATTCTGTTCTTTTCTGTCCAGACTTCTAACCTATCAAGATCAATTTGAATTTTTCTTCCTGTCTTCTAAGGAAGAAATTAACCATTGAACCAGAGTTCCATTATCTTCAGATTTCCACACCTCTTCCCCACCTCCTGGTGCTCTTTCTTTTGTGTTTTTCTGCACAGAATCCTACTTATCGGTGATCTGGATTTATTCCGATCAATTTCCTTGAAGTCTATGGGAATTTGTAAAGACATTTTGATGCTGCTTCATGGTTAGCAGATCCACATGCTTTTGTGGAAGTTTCTGAAGCCCTGCTGAAAGCAGCATCATTTTGCATTTCTTGCAACTGCCTCCCAGCACAATGTTTTAATGCTGCCTCCATATCCAGATGCTTTTGCTGCAGCAATGGTTACGTTCCAGCTTGAAGATATCCTAGTACTTTTAGCATGATTTCAGTAAGAAAGGGGAAAGAACACTTGAGCAATCCTACAGCACAGCTTTCAGACAAGGAAAATTTTCACATAGGAAAAATGACCACATTAATTTGAGTGCAGACAGAGCTAACTCTTTGTCTGAATGCATAGCCAGTCCATCCTTGAATCAACAGATGTTTAAAGAATTGGCATTATAACCCTGAGAAAGACACCCCTTCTCAAAAAGTCATATGCTTCTGTTTGCATAAGTTAAAATATTCCTTCATCTTTGCTGAAGCCTCAATTGCATGTATTATGAGGAATCTGTGGGCAGATTCTGCCACAGCACCTTCCCCCACCCCACACACAATTACCTCTGTACCTAAAAAAACAAAGCCTTTCCTGTTGCTTTGCTAACATTTCTATAATACATTTAATTTGGCTTGTAAGAAGTTGATTGGCAGGGCAATCCCCCTGGCCACATTCCTGGGGGTGCATGCAGTTTTAGGGTTCTTGGGGGACAGCTTCCAGTGGGGGAAAGGTTTGATGAAGTTTGGAGCTGTACCTGGAAAGGGTTCCTATAGGCATGAATCTGAAATTGTCAGAGAAAGCTACACTCTAACTTTTCTGAGCAGAGAAGTGCCATTCAGACTAGAAGATTCCCCTGCATCACTTTCTTTCAACTTTAGTTTGGACTCTTATCTTTTTCCCATTTACACATCTTGTTCTTTATTTTGGTTGCCTTGGACCCTCAAGCCATTTGCTACAAGACTTCTATATCCTTAAACTATGGAAGCTGTTTTCTTCTTCATTTTCCCTCTTGGAAAGTATATGGATTTGGCCCACTAGACAGATGTACCATGTCATACACAGGCAACAATCCCTTCATAGAAGGTTGGATGAGACTAGCATAGGCTGTCTTATCTGCCGCACAGGTTGCCCAAGCTGAATTGCAGGAGAAGGTGTTTCAAACTACAGTCCCCATAAGCCCCAGACAGCCTGACCAATGATAAAGGAGTGTAGTCCAAACATTTGGGTAAGGAGCATTCCAGAGTAAAAAGTGTACCTGCCTTCCCCTCTTTCCATGCTTTCAGATAAGCACTACAACAACCACTTAATTGAAAAAGAAAGAGGTGCCATCAGAACTACACATGCCATCTTCTGAGCTTATAGATCATTAGCTCTCAAGGGAATTAATGTGGCGGACACACAGGATGGAAGGCAGCACATTTAGGCAGCCCACAGTAGACTACTGCAGTGTTCGCATAACACAAGAAGCTGGAATATGGACCGAGTATGGGCTGTTGAACCATGGTTTGTTGTGCTATGTAAACCCAGCTGTGCTATCAAGCCATGGTTTGTTAATGATGAACAGCCCACAAAGAAAACCTATATATTGCTGGATCGTGAACTGATTGTGGGTTGTTTGTTGTTAACAAATTATGGTTTGTTCACACAGCTGAGTTCACACCACACAACAAACCATTGTTCAGCAACAACCCACAGCTCATGCTGAACTCAGCCCATACTCAACCTGTACCCTGGCGTATTAGGCTGGGTGAACAAGGTCTAGGTCATAGAGGCTGCCTGGGACTATTGAAGGGTTTTTAGATTTTACTAATCTAAAAACCTTGTGAAATTATTTTGTCCTTAATGATTTCTATGGTAAGAAAAAGGCTGGAAGAACTGGTAGGGAACACAGAAGAGTCACAGATGGAAGACAGTGTCATCTGGATGCCTCCATGAAGGGGTAGGCTGGTCACATAGTAAGCCTTGTCTGGGAGCACCCCAGACAAGCACCCCTCATTTCAGAGGCGGAAGGGCCTTTTAGTCCATGCTTTTCACTGCCTTTTTCTGCTTCTCATTGACTCTTGCCCCCTTTTCAGTTTCTCCTCTCATTCGCTATCATCCACTGGTCTTCTTTGTCCCTTTTGTTTCCTTTTATATAGTCTCCCTTTGACTTATGGGGCAGTTGCTTGGTTATTATACATTGAGGTCAACATAGCCCACGCTATCCATAAGCTCAAGGTGAAGGAAGGTATACAGTCATTGCTCCCCAAACTCCAGGGACTCCTAGCTCAGCTGATGCAGGAGGAAATGAAAAATGTAGGCAAAGTGGCCCATCTATCATTTCAGAAATAAAGTCTTATTTAATGTACAGCACTATATTATCTGCCTTGCTTATTCGAATGCACTGTTGTCCTGACCTTGCTTCCCACTAAGGGTAGAAAATATTCCCTTGATTTGTTATTTACTATTTTGGGGTGAAAATTCTATTTTGTGTTTTAAAATAAAGAAATAGAATCCTAATTTCCTTTTATTCCAGCTGCCCCATCTCTGTCACACTGTAGATTTGCCAGGGAAGACTAGGAAAGCCATTGTGGTATAGTAGCTAAGAGCGTGGGACTGGGACTCAGGTGATCTGTGTTCTAGTCCCTGCTCAGCCATGCAGCTTACTGGGTGACTTCAGGCCAGTCACAGCCTCTCAGCCCAACCTACCACAGAGGGCTGTTGTTGTGGGGATAAGATTGAGTGCAGGAGGAGGAGGAGGAGGAGGAGAATGATGTAAGCTGCTTTGAGTTCTTAGAAAAGAAAAAAGGTGGGATAGAAATCTAATAAATACAATAATAACTACATAATAAATGGAAGAGAGAGAATCTTCAAGTAATACCCAGGGGTACAGTGATGGCCTGAGGGTTATGGACTCTCAGGTAAGAGGCCCTCTCATTCTTCACCCATCCCCACTGGCACCCAGAGAAGTGGGACAAGCAAGGGGTCAAGCAGTAGCTGCTGCTGCTCACACTAAACCCCACATGCTGAAAGAGGGCAGGAGAATGTGTAGCAATAGCCTGGAGGGAAGGCAGAGTTCTGGCCCTCCGGGCTGAGGACCCCTGATGAGGCACGGCCCTTGGCAAGTTCCTGATGATGCCACCCTCTGGCACCAGCCCCGGGCAGGGGTTCTCACTGGACTGGGCCATTGTGGCGTGTGGGGGGGGGGCAGGTAAGGGAGGTGTCGTTCATCATCTCCATGTCAATCTTCCTCTTCAGAAAGCCACATTTAGCAATAGCTCAGGGGCCAACTGGTCAAACATTTCCCAGTGCAAACATTCCACTGATACTAAGAAAGAGGAAAACTAATGAAGGGCCCCATGATACTCCAGAACAAGCAAAGCCACAGATTTTCAATTTAGGGTGATTTATCCCCAGCTAAGTGCTTACAGCTGCTTCATTGCTCTTGTCACAAAGAATATCAGCTCCAGCAACTTGTAGAACAGAAAAGGCTGCCTGTATCTAAGATAGGCTGGGGTTTTATCACTTGTAATTTAAATTCATTTTTATGGGCAATTTTACACTAAGTGGCTGGCCAGGAAGATGACATGTATGGAAAGTCCCTTG